CTTTAGATTCGCGCGTTAGTCGTCACTCTTACGGGATTACTGGGTATCATGTTTGTTTGAGATTTTGATTTAGCTGCATTAGCTTTGCTAGTGTTCTATTATCATGCATGGCTGTTGATACAAATCGTGTCTATTAGCTTTGGATACTCTTCCAGACTTGAATCTTGTGGGAGTGATATAAGTAATGTAGAAATTGAGCTTTTCTAGCTGCTCATGTTCTTGATTTTGTGCATCATGCGTATTGACGGGTTCTTATGTTTTGATCATGATAAAGTGATGATGCTTTTGGTATTAAAAGTTTCGACCTTCTTCTTTGTGTTTCCTTTCTCAGGAAGCAAGATGATTACAAGGTAGTCATGAAGGTGGAGCGAGGAAAATACATTGAGGTTTTAGAGAGGATAAACATGAACAACAGCAACAAATGCAAGAAAATCTAGATAGTTGCCAGGAATTTAATCTCAAATTTCAACAGCCTTTGTTCTTTCGGATGAAGCATCTTATGTACAAACCATCTATGCATTGGCCTCTACATAAGAGGTGAGGATAGAGAGGCAGAGATATAACTCTAGACGTTTATTTATTTTGTGACGTAACCGCAGCCAAGAAGGACAATGTCACATTCTTAAGATGCTAAATGTCAGCTTCTTAGGAAGAGTTTAAAAAAAAAAAAGACTTCCTTTATTTATAAATTTATGGATTTGAGTCATAAATCAAAACTAAAACACAACATAACTATTATCATAAGCATGTTCATCTTTAATCCATTGGTATTTGAGCTCTTCTGGCTTATCATCTATAGATAAATAGATTCCATCATCTCTAATATCCCATGAGTATAATGTTTCACATCTAATAACAAATTGATCTTCCACATATGCTCGAATGGATTGGTGATACTCCATTTTAGCTCCCTTCCACAAATTACAGATAAACCTCGTGGTACCGATGATATTATCATGAAAACTAAATTTGTATGTTGGACTTTCAAATTTCAGAAAATGGTCACCTAAATTGTCGGTTTCAGATTTACAATGAACTTTAAGAATACTACGACTTGAAACAAGGTGGTTATGGAAAGCCACTGTGTTCTTGTTACAAAGAGATTCAATAGACCTACCAAAATATAAGGCAACAATAAGAAAAACAAAAACAAAATTATTATTCATTATTTTGAATCAAATGATTTTTTTTTTTTAAACTATCAGGGCCGAAGTATTAGTTATGTATACTTGTATACAATAACATTTGCAGATTTTTAGATCTTATAGGCTTGTCAACAACATAAGAATCTCAAAGTACTTAAAAGTTTAAATGGTTTTAATTGACTATTTTGCTGATTTTAATTCTTCCCTTTAAAAAAAAGGTGAATGCATTAACTAACATTTTTGTCATTTTAAGTAAAAAATCTTACATTCTTTATTTCAATTAAATGCCGAGATGCTTATGTATA